AAGCCCAACTGATCGATAACTTGTCACAAGTTTCCTTGAATACCACTTAAGCACAGCTGATCGATCATTTGTCGTCATCTTTGTCATTCGAAAGTATGACAAGAACACAACTGAAACACTTAACACATTCTTCTTACTATGGAAAGGAATATTCTGTAAGTTTGCTTTAGAACAATAATTCTAGAGCCGCATATCAAGCTGAAGAGTTATTTCATTTATGAACTTCTTAACCCAGAAAATTACAAAACCGAGATCCTAGCCCAAAAAACGTAAAAGGTTAGATATTCTTATTATCCCGAGAAAAAATAGTTTTTATATTCCTAGAAAAATTAGCTTTGTGTAAGATATTGAAAACAAGTTATTGTTTCTTGAGGACGAAAGTAAGATATGTTGTGTGTAATACTTTGTTATTATACTATTCAAGAGACAGATTTCTAATTGTTTTCGCATGAATTTCTTAAATTACTTTGAAATTTTGAACAAAGATACGAGAATCTAGAGTTTGGACAAAATTAAAGGTGAAAGTGGCGAGTTGGCAAAAGGTAACAAGGTGAAAGCGGGGGTTGAAACTTAAGGCAAGGGACTCGAGTCTGTCTTGAGCATATCGTGGAATAAGTGGTAGACATCTTTATCGTGATATTTTGTTCAATCGTTTTCTGACTACTCACAGTACTTTGTGATTCTTACCCCTAGCATAGCGGTAAAAAGACAAGTTTTTTTTTCTGGCACATTTTATACATTCATGGAGAAATGACAATCATTCCTCTTGTGCGAGTGAAACAAATTTTTGGTGTGGGTGTTTTTGCTTTGCTTTGTTTCGAATTTTGCACAAAGCTATACGAGGGCTATTTGCGCTAACCATCTCTAATTTAGCAGTGATAGACTAGAGGAAAGATAGCTAATCAACACCACCCACCGCCAATTCTTGGGCTACTCTTTTTCAACGAATAGAGAGATTGACCGTCATTTTATAATGCCCTCACGGCTGAAAGTACGAGCATGTTCGGTGATGGAGATTCGAACCCGCGATCATCACATTGCGAGTTGATCGCCCTAACCACCAGGCCATGGTGTGGATAGCGAAAGTCACTCACCACTGACCTAGTTTAAAATATGTGTCGCCTACAAGCAATGATTTGTAAGCCCTATTGTAGATGTAAGCTTTATGGTGCTATTTGTATTTTTTCTGTAAATAGTACAGTTGTTAACGTATATACAACATGCTAATCCATGAATTACCAGTGTTGGTCTTTGTATTGCATCATATTGAGTAATATTGTGTCTTTGCATGTTACAATACTGAATGTAAAACAAAAAAACGAATCCAAATACTGGGTAGAAGTACTCGTTTTTTATATAAAATACACAGTCATTATTGGGGGTTACTGCAATATTGATGGCATATTTGTTTATTGATATGTTATTAGAGATTTTATAACCAATTGTTTTTAAACAGTTAAGAAAACTTATGTTCAAGCCCCTGCTTTTAATTTCTAGAAAAAAAGTACCGCATCTCTGTTGACAAATGGAAGTGGAGTGGAATTTTAAGTTTTAGAAGATAATAGTTTAAACGCTTTTGAGTGAGCTATTTGGGATGGAGATGGAGGGAGAGTAATGTCATTGATTACGTCAGTTAATTATCAATTCGTGAAGCAAACGAATCAGTCATAGAAATAATTACGATGCCCCGTATTTATATCTAAACAAACAATTTAAAACAGGTTCCGAATTTCAGATTCGAAGAGATCTGGCAGAAACTAAGTGCTTTTTTAAAACCCAATAGGTTGCGTACTCCATGGGTAATTTTAGGGTTAACTGAATGCATTGCCAAGTGGCGTAAACTTACCTCACACTGTTATTTGTTCTTTCGATGATAGGTCACATAATGAATCTGTGCTAATTGCTATTTTCATGACATTCCGCATAACATAAAAATTATACGTTTTATACCGAATTACATAATTTCATGATAACTGCTCTATTGAAGAGGGACAAAAGAATTCACTAATGAGTAAAAGAAGGAAGGACGAAAATACAAAGATCACTGCTGGCGGTACAACTAAATGTTCTGTTTTGATTACTCTACTGAATGGTAATAACATAACTCTAATCTGTTTGTTATAGGGTTAACAATATAATGCCTCACAGTTTGTTATAGGATTGACAATATAATGCCTGACAATTTGTTATAGGGTTGACAATATAATGTCCCACAGTTTGTTATAGGGTTGACAATATAATGCCTCACAGTTTGTTATAGGATTGACAATATAATGTCTCACAGTTTGTTATAGGGTTGACAATATAATGTCCCACAGTTTGTTATAGGGTTAACAATATAATGTCTTACAGTTTGTTATAGGGTTAACAACATAATGCCTGACAGTTTGTTATAGGGTTGACAATATAATGTCTCACACTTTGTTATAGGGTTGACAATATAATGTCTCACAGTTTGTTATAGGGTTGACAATATAATGTCTCACAGTCTGTTATAGGGTTGACAATATAATGCCTCACAGTTTGTTATAGGAGTGACAATATAATGTCCCACAGTTTGTTATAGGGTTGACAATATAATGTCTCACAGTTTGTTATAGGGTTGACAATATAATGACTAACAGTTGACTGGTGTATTAAGGGATGACATATAAATAATCATGCATTATTTTAGCGAATACTAGTGATATCATATTTTAGTTTTCGTTGTATTAAGGAACGGTGACATAACTCCTCATTACAGATTGGTATATTGAAGGAAGACAACATATTTGACCACTATTGATCACTGTGCTCGTTATTCACTGCTATATTGACTGGCTAAGCGTTAAATTGAGGGTGGGGACATAATATTATCTGCTTACTGTCATAGTGGTTGCGTGACATAATTCATTGCTCCTTGCTACATTGAGGGGAGTAATATAACAGTTTACTACTGACTGCTATTTATTGAGAGGAGTAATATAACAGTTTACTACAGATTGCTATATATTGAGAAAAGTAATATAACAGTTTACTACTAACAGAAAGTATAGAAAAAGACATTTGCACTCCAGATATTTACATATAAAATAATTTTTATATTTTAACCAACATTTTGCCTTTGCGGATTCCTAAAAGTAGAAAGATTAGTTAAAATAAAGAAAATTCTATTATATATATCTGGAGTGTTTTTTCTAAACTTTTATAGCTGCTTTTTCTGTTGGTGAGATGTTATCTTTTTCTTAATGATTTTTCATGTGTTGCTAGGAAGGGGATATATTGTTCTGTGGCTGTTGATGTTTTTGGCGGTTGATACGTCTGTGAGTCAAATGGGTGATTGCTGATTGATAGGTGATTCAGATTGTCTTCTTGGTGATTTGGAGTTTGTATATTAACCCCGAGGAAGCCTCAAAAGCTTCAAAAGGTTAAAATAAAATAAAAATAATTTTATATATATCTGGAGTGTATAGGTCGTTTTTTCTAAACTTCTTATCAAAATGTATAAATCCCTCCAGTATGCATTACAAATTGAAAAGACAACAAAAAATTAGTACTGATAGCTATATAAAGCGAAGACCAGAATTAACACTACTGACTGTTCACCGAGCGAAGATTAAATCACTGATCATTTCCATATTGATGGAAGGAAACACTGTTTTGAAAGTAGAGAATATTGTATTACTATTTACAGAGAGAAAAGAAGAACTTGTCACTACAGATTTTCACCTCGAAGGAATATATCATATCATTTGAGAACAAAACAGTTCAACACTGTAACTGAATGACGGATATACAGAAGAGACAGAACAAGTTATCTCCATATACATTGTCGTACAGTAGCTCTCTTCAAGTATTGTTAGCTAAAAATATAACTATACCATTTACTTACCAACATATCCGACTTTTTTACTATTGTAGTAAGAATTCGTATGTATATTAATGCTAGTTATTGTATTAAATGACACAACATTGTTGATTACTATTATAACTCATTACTGTAGACTGCTATACTAGTGACGGTAATAGAACTCCTTGTTGGATTTCATATTAACCCTGAACTTGCCAACTTGTATTTATATCGCTTACAATCAGTACGGTACACATATTGAGTCAACTTACATTTTTGCCTATTACTACACTCAGCGTAAAGAACTGACCACAAGTAATTGATATTACTAAATTGTTAATATAATATACATAAGGGACCCTATCAATAATTGCAATATTTATGGTATTATTATTTACATTTTATTTTTGTGTGATCCACATGTCATTCGTGACCATTTAATTAGCAAAGTCATGGCTCCATAAGTAATAGTGCACAAATAGTTCAGAACAATCTATTTAAAAACAGATGTGATACATAGACCCTACTGGTAATTATAGAGTTAAAGACCATAGGTACCAATATAACTTAATAATGACAAATGTCTTTAAGGGAAAAAATATTAATCATTTGTTAATGATGTTAGGTTAAAAAATCAGTTAAAGATAAAAAAAATACCTGACTATATAGCCCAAGCGGTTTCATCAGGGGTAAACTGGATATGACTAAGTAAAGTAATTTTAAAGCCATTCCCAGTTTGCCCCTGGTGAAGAAAGGTCCACTTTTTGAAAATTGGTATTACATCTCTGAACGTTGAAAATCACTTAAACAATTCACTCCTCTCTGATGTAATCAAGTGATAACTGCATTATATACTGAGTGGTACTTTATTACACGTGTAATTTATAAATACAGTTTAAATTGGTTACTACATTAAATCCCCTAACAGATTTTCTCAGATAAAAATAAAAATATACCATTTATAAATTAGTTACCATATTAAATCTCTCTAACAGATTTTCTCAGATAAAAATAAGACTATATAATTTATAAATTGGTTACTACATTAAATCCCTCTAACAGATTTTCTAAGATAAAAAAATAAGACTATACAATTTATAAATTGGTTTCTACATTAAATCCCTCAAACAGACTTTCTCAGATAAAAAATAAAATTATCCCATTTGCTTACCAAAAAACTCATCCACGATTCCGAAAGGCATCACTACTATACAGACTAACAGGTCAGCCACGGCGAGCGACAATAAGAAATAATTGGTGATATTTTGGAGTTGACGTTCTCGGCATATTGCGAGACACACCAGCACGTTTCCCAGTCCTCCGCATATAACAAAAACCAGAAGAAGTAGGCTTAACCATTTGTATCCAGAAGATAAGTCTTGGTTATAAAATGATTCAACTTCAGTTGATGAAGTATTAGTGACTATTGTACTTGTAAGCATGAAGAAAGTTATGTTTCTATTGTCATAATTATCTGTCGAGTTCACTTCTCCTATTAATGAAATCTTATCAGAAGCACTTGGTGTTGTCAATTCTACAGTAACGTTCGAATCCGTGGAAATCATGTTATTTTTCGTTTTCCTAAACCACACAATATTGCTCAGTTCACCAGTACCGTGGCTGAAATCAAGAAATATACCGCTTCCGTTCATGAGCTTATTGAAGTACTATTTAGGTTATCCTAAACAAATCTCATAAGATTATCCCTTGTATAAACCAACAGTAGATACATATAAGCATGTTTGGTTGGAGATAGACCGGAATTGTTTTCTTTTAAACTTGAAAAATCGAACACGTTCTCTCTTCGTCACGTTGCACAGTCATCAAAGTGAGAACTGAAGATTGAACTCCCTGATAAATTCTTCTGATTTCTTTTACGTTAAATAAAACCTCATAATTTAGAGGAAAACGTTTAGTGTTGTTTTTTATTTTTTCATTTGCTGTAAAAGTTGGTAAACATAGACGTAGAAACAATTTTTTCAGACATAAAGGCGTTTGGTTTATGGATACACTGAAAGCTGTTGACTTTTGTCTTTTTTATTCTTGTTCTTTATTACCTAGGACCCTTTAATGCTGAAAATCGTCTTCAACGACAATAAAAACTTGTTGCTATTGAAGCTATAAAAGTCTCTCCGGTATAAATGAATCCTTTGATTCTTTACGAAAATATGATACTTGTCTCATGAAGATAGATCATCTAAAGCAAAAACAAACAAAAAAATCTATATAGATTATTGCGTTTCAGCATAGTTGTTTTATTGATATATTATAAACTTTTAAGTAAAAGAAATACTTAGAAAGACTTATGGTGCAGCAAACAAACAAATAGTTTATCTGAAGGAATATTTAATAGTTTTAATAGCAACGACTCAAACATACCCTGTTAATAGCTACGAAAATCAACTGTCAAAACAAGTGTTTGAAATAAGTATTTTTCGTGATACTAAGGTATCAGATTTAGGAGATGTTTCGTGATATGTAAGGTATCAGATTCTGGAGATGTTTCGTGATATGTAAGGTATCAGAATCTGAAGATGTTTCGTGATATGTAAGGTATCAGAATCTGAAGATGTTTCGTGATATCTTAGGTATCAAATTCTGCAGATGTTTCGTGATATCTAAGGTATCAAATTCTGCAGATGTTTCGTGATATGTAAGGTATCAGATTCTGAAGATGTTTCGTGATATGTAAGGTATCAGAATCTGAAGATGTTTCGTGATCTCCCTCATGTTTCCTTTAGGCGTATTAATTTCCATTTTTACAAATACATATTTTTAAAGACATACGTAATTATGAAAGATAGCATTATATATCGTTTTGAATTTGAAAGGTAAGGTTTTAAAACGAAGTAACAGAAAAAGCGCGGACAGTTATTGTCTTTTGATTTTTTTACATTAATGTTATTTAGCGGGAAACTGTGTAATCAGCATAACTTCTGCTATGTTGACATAGAAGCTTCCTTAAATAATGTTTTATAGATTGGAAACCATTGCTTCGTATGTATCGTGACTAACTTAAGAAGATGGACAGGTATACGTTAATAATGTTTCCGTCACTTAGTCAAGAAATATGGATATGCCCTGTCATAAGCTAAATACTATGCACGTAGGTGAGTCGTGACGTCATTGTTTGTTTAAGAGCTTTCAACATTTTTTTAATGGTGAAAACTGGGCTTCATAGTGGTCAAGAACAACAAGCTTGCTCAAATGAAATAGTTAATTCCCGTGTTAATTGCTAGTAAGCGCCGTTTAACGTTTCCAAATGATGACGTCACAAGGTTGATGTTTTAGACCGACGGTGTTAAAAAAAATTCAAGCCTTTTGTTATGCTGTGTGAATGGAAAGGGGAAACAATATTTTCACTAATCACAAATTATATGTTGGAAATAAAGGACTATGAATATTTGTCCTCGTAATGAAAGTTAGTTTAGTATATGAAGATAGTCATGTAAAATAAATTCAGGCTACAACGACACTTATAAAAGTTCTGAACATATTATCGAATTTCGACAACATGCAAAGATTATATGCTTTGAGACGCCGTTTAATGTAATGTTTTTTAATTCGATCTTGTGACGAATTAGCTGTTTATTAATAGTGCAGAACTCTGAAGTCAAAGTTCTAAATTAATTTTTGCTTGTAACACTGATTAAAATTTTGAGTGCTTTTATTGAAATAACTAATTAAAAAATGCAGACAAATTCATTACGAGCTTTCTTGTAATTTGACAGTAGAGTTTTGTTTGCATCTAATTAATGTACTTGAGTTTGTGGCAAAGCTATTAAGGCTATCTGCCCCCATATCTAATTTTGAACTACAGGCCAAATGGAAGACATCCAGTCAGCATCTACATTAAGGGATTAAATGTCACTTTTATAACGCACCCACAGTTTAAAGTGTTTTGACTGTAGTGTGGTATTGCATACGGATTCGAAATCTGGTCGTCAGCTCCAAAATGTAAAGTTATGCCACAGTACCATTCCGTGCACTTTATAGTAGATAAAAATACATAAAAGACATCTAGTTACGTCAGACATGGCGGAGTATCAAGAAAACACATATTCTAATGCTGATTTACGTAACATATATAAACGAGATTTTACAAGACTTTGCAATAATGCTCCATTTTAAATAATTTATTTTCATTTCAAGAATAGCGTTTGTTTATATAGTATTAAAGTTATCATATAACTATAAATGATTATCACTTACTAAGAACGTTGGAGATTGTCTTTCAGTTTAAACATAAAATAAACTACCATTATAGTTTCATTTATAGTTATTTCTGTTTAGCCAGCTTTTGAAATTAAGTTTGGGAAACCTACTGAGGAAAAATCGGAGAACACTAACTTTTGTCATAATTTTAAGGTGGAAAGTTTATTTTTAAAACTAAGAACTAACTTGAAAAAAAAGTGAAATCGTGCTCACGTCGTTTACAAGATGTGGGATGTAACAACAAACATCATGCTAAGCTTATCTTGATGAAGAGCAGTCTCTGAAAATAATAAGTTAATACTCTTCAGAACCAAAGATAAATATTATCACTGCTATGTTTATGAACTTAGTATCTTCTTTCTAACTTCTATAGACGCCCGTTATGTATATGCATTTATAATTGAAAACAGAATAAAATATACGACTTTACTTGATAAAGTTTTCGCTCAAACCTCAAAGCGAACGATGACTGACTTCTATATCGGTTTCACATTTAAAAGTATTTCTTTAACAATTTTTAACTTCACAAAAGATATTATTTTTCGTATATTTCACATCTTATTTGTTCGTTTATAAATATTCTTCAGTTTTGATGCTCTCTGATTGTATATGCAATACATTTATTTTGCAAATCAATTGCCCAATTAGTTGAAAGTTTGACAATATAATTCAAATTTATGAATTATGGTATAAAAGTTTTGACTGCATACACTAATGTTAAAACAATAAAGCATTTCCAGGAAAACAATAATTGTGTAATTTCAAGTGTTTCAACAGTTGAATACTAATGTTAAAACAATAAAGCATTTCTAGGAAAACAATAATTGTTTAATTTCAAGTGTTTCAACAGTTGAATACTAATATTAAAACATTAAAGCATTTCCAGGAAAACAATAATTGTTTAATTTCAAGTGTTTCAACAGTTGAATGCTAATGTTAAAACGCTAAATCGTTTTCAGACAAACATTTAATGTTCAGTGTGATGTCTTTAACAGTTTTTTCGAGAAGTACTAGCATTTCCTTCGTTGAAGTTGAAACGATAAACTTGGTTATTATTAACGGGTGTGGTGTTTTGTATTGTTGTGTTAGGCATTAATTACTTTCCTTATTGAAGATAACATTAATTAGTACTTGACCTTGCACTTTTATTTTGAAATAAAGATTTCATATCTAGTGTCATAAATATTATTAATAATATATCGAAATATAAAATAAATATAACTAAGAGGAAGTCAAGCGTTATATATATATATATAATTTTTAGTTTTATAACGAATAATTTCGTATTTTGTCAAGTTTATTGCGATTATTTAATCCAACATTGAGAATATGATGATTTTAAATGCTTAATCATAATCAATCTGTTCGATATATTCCTCAAGTAAAAGTTCTTGTTTAGATTCTGGTTAATTGTTTAGCTCTGGTATATTGTTTAGCTTCTGGTATATTGTTTAGATTCTGGTATATTATTTAGATTCTAGTATATTGCTTTACTGAATAACTGTTATTCTTAAGCCTGTTTCAACATTGCTGCTTGATCCATAACATTTAAAAAATTAATTACATCGTTTTTGTAGTTTGTTACTGTAATTAATACTCAATACAAGCGTAAACAGCCCAATGAATATAGTCAATATTTTTCAGAATTTTTTGCAAGATTAATGATAGTTAAAGTATCATTTTGGAAGCGTTATATAATATATTAATATATTCACATATAATTCAACATGTAAGAGTTTATTAATATGAATATTCAGGAATGTGGAACACAGCACTTCACACCCTTCAAAGCCATTTTGCAACGCTGGACTTGTGGTAAAAACCGAATTCGTAGAGTAAAGGTGGTAATATGGAGTTCAAGGTTATTTAGTTGCATATATTTCGCTAACGACTTGCTAAACGTTACGTAATATTACTCACAACAAACTGAAAACGTCGGTAGCAGAAATAAACCGAACTCAAGAAACTGCAACGTTATCGAATAGTTTGGACCGTAGCTAGTTTGACTAAAATCACTCATTTTTACTACTTTACAAAAAAAGAGAGATTTATAGAAAGAAATTACTTTAATATAAACTTTTATATACATCGTTACATCTTCAGCCATGGTAGTTTTAGAAATAATTATAAAAACTATCCATCTAGATACTAAGACGCAGATTTCTTAAATAAAAAATAATATTCAAGTATCACTGCTTGTAACAAATAAATGATAAGAAAAATGAAAAAGAAACGTAAATATATTGTTTGAGAAACGTATAAGTGAAATAATTATTTACATAACTTTGTACAGTCAAATGAGTGTGAACACGACTGATGTCTTGCACCACACGCCTTATCCTGCTTGATTTACTGTTGGTATTGTTACGACAGACGAAGTCACGTGACTCTAGTAACACGTCATGAGATTCTAGAAAGATCATGCCCATTCGTGAAGCCTCGAGTGTTCTCCAGACGCCCTATATTCTTGTATATAAGTGCGCCAGACAATGAATCGGAATGATATAGGAGACAGAGAGATTGAAGATATAGACGAACAACTGAGTCAAGCGCGGTAGTAAGTAAAGTGCGTGAATCATTCGTTGTAAATTATAGCGTGTGTTTAAGTTAAGATGATTGTGGAAATTAAGTGTATTGCAAAGTTGAATTGAGAAAGAATAAACTAGTTTTATTTGAGAAAGGACTTGTATCACTGAAGTTATTCGGAAATAATTTTTACGAGTAATTAACAAACGACCAGAAACGTAACAATATTTTTTTAGGAGAACCACATCTATCACTGATGACACTACAACAGT